TTCACATCAGGTGGCCAAAGTACTGGAGCTTCAGCATCAGTCCTTCCAGTGAATATGCAGGCCTGATTTCCTTTAGGATTGACTGGTTTGATTGTCTTGCTGTCCAAGAGACTGTCAAGAGTCTTCTTCAGCACCACAGTTCAAAAACACCAATTCTTTGACATTCAGTCTTCTTTATTGTCCAACTCTCACATACATATATGATTACTGGTTGAGAACATTATGCTAAGTGAAACAAGCCAGTCACAAAGAGAAAAATGTTATTTGTTTCCACTACATGAGATACTTAGTCAAGTTCATGGTGACAGAAAGAAGAATGGTGGTTGCCAGGTGCTGAGGGGAGAGGGGAATGAGGGATGAAGAGTTCAATGGCCAGATTTTCTGTTGGGGGAAGATGAAAAAGTGCTAGAGATAGATGTTGGTGACAGTTGCACAGCAATGTCAATATGCTTAGTGTCACAGAACTGTGCACTGAAAAATGCTTAAAATGGTAAACTTCATTGTATGTATTCTTCACTACAATAAAAAAAACCCAATTAATTTAAATAGCCATATGTGATTGGGGCTACTGTATTGGTCAACACAGGGCTAAATGAGCAAGTCTTTGGAAAAATGTGAAGTGGGAATAGAAATAAAAAATGGTCAACAACAAATATATAGATATAGATAGATATATAGATCAGATCCCAAAACATCAGACGTTTGAGACTTCCTGTCAGTGGACAGTGGGTTTCCCAGGTGGCTCAGAGGTAAAGAATCTGCCTGCCAATGCAGGAGACACAGGTTCAGTCCCTGGGTCAGGAAGATCCCCGGGAGAAGGAAATGGCAACCTAATACAGTATTCTTGCTTGGGAAATCCCATGGACAGAGGAGCCTGGCAGGCTACAGTCCATGGGGCTACAAAGAATCAAACATGACTTAGCAACTGAACATAACACAACACGATCAGTGGACAGCAGTGTTGACAAAGTGACTGACCCCACTGGTTGTAGCTCCCAGTCTCAAACTAATGGCTTAGACCCTATGTCTCTCCCTAATTCAGATCAGGTTCTCTATTTGGGGAATTTTAAAGGTGCTTTGAGGAACCTTGTGACCTTAAAGACAGAAAACATGTTATTGTAGCACTGGAAACATATTTTTAGTTTTCTTGATAAAACATCAAGAGTGAAATTAACTCTACTATATAGATTCATGAAATGTCTCTTTTGGCAATAGGCAATTTTTATACAAGGGTCAATATTTGGAAGCTTTCCCAGGAAATGGTCAATGCAAAAAAAAAAAAAAAAAGCCATCGAAATCTATTATCATGTTACTGTTATCCACAACTAAACAACTAATTAATATTTATTTCATGAAAAGGTAATGGGTATTAATGTGAAAAAATCAATGTGTGAGTATACTCTGAGTTAATGTACTCAGCACCCAGAATTCTTAAATTTTGAGTATATCCAAATTAAAACTATTTATTTGCTATAGTTTTATCAATACCTGTAACTGATCAATATAAGATGTGACTCTCCAGTAATGAGGTATCGTTAGGTTAGGAGTATATTTATAAATGTACTGAATCACAGAAGCCTCTTTTTAGAACCAGAGTCCATAAAACACAGTTGGGAAATATCCCTTTCACCAATCAGCTGAAGCAGTGTAAAGACAGCACAGTGGAAAAGTTGAATTAATCTGGGGATTAAAGATAAGTCAGGTAGACTGCAGAACCATTAGGTGAACCATGCAAGGAAATAACATTTAGAGAATGGTCTTGAAGCTGAAGTACAAATATGTAAAAAATTGAAGTACAAGTACATAAAAAATTGAGAAGGAATCTAAGGGTCAATAAAGATAGGCTTTGGATAGCAAACTCAAGACTTTTATATTATTTTATGAAAAGAGGAAAGAAAATTTTGGTGCAAAGGAGTTGGATGGATGCCATTTAATGGCCAGATATGGCATAAGTGAACAGACAAGAGTCAAGAATTAGAACTGATAGACTAGTTGAATTGTCACTTGGGCTGGAGTCCTGACTGACCATACCAAGGCAGGAATGAAGTTTGGGAATACTGGGGTGATTACTTGATCTTTTAGTCTAGTGCTCAATACTTTACAGTTGATTGTAACCTGAAAGCTTTTTATTAGCCTGAACACAGTTCCTTTCAAGATCAGAACTTACAGCTGATCTAGAAAGACAGCTTTGTCTCTTGCTGTACAATTAAATGTGAGTTTCTTTCCTGAACTGCTGCCATCTACACACCTTTTGTTACTAGGTAACAAGACTGGCACATGCTATTTCCTTCTGAAAGTGACGTGAGAAGTATGGATTCACCCTCTGCAGGACATCATTTCTGTCAGCGCCCATGAGATGGAAGTCAAGAAATGAACAGAAAAAAGATGTGAGGCATAACCACTTTTATCTACCATGACCAAGTTATTACACAAGTAATGAGGTAGAACCTCTCTACTTTTAATAATAATGGAGTGGATATCATTGAGATTACTGAATCAAATTAATGAATTAGCTATCGATAAGAAGAAAACAAGATAATAAATGCAAGGGTTTTTTTTCTTTCTTTCATCAAAATGCCCTATAAATGTGTGATCTGAAGTGAGTAGTCAAGTTTCAATTCCTACTCAGCTACATCCTTTCCTTTAAATAAGAGAACACAGTACCTAAGAGTCATTAGAGGTATACAGCTGACATAATTCCTCCTTAAAGTGGAAAACCCAAGATAATAGTAGTGCATAAGGTCAAGTGCAGTGAATTTAGGTGAGAGGCACAAAGAAAGGTTCAAATTCGCTACCTCTTTGCAAACGAAGAGGCTCTACAGATGGCGACAGCAGCAAAACCTCAGCTTCCCGTGTTTCATTTCCAAGTCACACTCTCTCCTGTTTCTCTGGTTATTAACAACTGTATCTCTCTTTTGGCCTCACAAAGAGGCATAAAACTACTCATCAGGCAGCAGGAAAAAATGATAACCAGTAACAGTCTAGACATTTCATTATTCAAATCAGCATAAAATGATTATGCAAAATCCCTAGGAATTGAAGTGACCCTCTCTTCACTTTTAAAACTACACTTTGACTAATAGAAAATCTGTCTTAAATATCCTTTAACAAGACCCCTCAAATGTATCTCTCTTCTTTGACACAGTTATAAATAATCCAGAGCATTGTAAAACGTCTTCCTGATCTTAACTAGCAACATGACTCGATTCATCATTCACTTTAAATTAATGAGATTATTTGTTCAAGAGATTATTAATGGATCGTATAATATCCATCAGATAAAGTACCAAGACAATGTTGAAAGCAAGCAAATTAAGTCATCACAGGCCTTGAAAAGCAATGACTGAGGGTACCATGAGGGTCTGATTTGTAGGAAATTAAGATTTAATTAATGGTTCAGACTGTATTTTCCTACTATTATTTTTGAGTGTGAAATAAATCTATGAAACCAGCAAAGACCAGCCAAATGTACAAATTTGAACTTCTAATGAATACAATGACATTTAAAATCTTGAAAGTCACCCTTAAAACATTAAGTCATTCCACTGAAGTCAAAAACAATTTTAAAATATTTGGAGAAAGGGCCAAGAAATGTCATCAGTACATATTAACCAGAGGCAAAAGGTAAGGAGGATAGGGCAGAGATGTGTCATATTTTATTATAAGCTATAATTAATTGTGGGCTTCCCAGGTGGTTCAGCAGTAAAGAAAACATCTGCCAATGCAGGAGATGCAGTCTCAATTCCTGGGTTGGGAAGATACCCTGGAGAAGGAAATGGCAACCCACTCCAATAATCTTGCCTGGAAAATCCCATGAACAGAGGAGCCTGGTGGGCTACAGACCATGGGATCCTAAAAGAGTCGGACATGATTTGGGGACTAAAACAACAGCATAATTAATTGTAGCCTTTTCTTACTAAAAGCATTCAACAATCATTTAAAAAACTGTCACCATAAAGTAGTGTCTTGATATTTCCACACATCTTATATAACTTTAATAACAAATACCATGTTGAATCATTAAAAGACTTTTGCTCATGTTTCTCTGTGTGTCTGTGTTTCCCAGAAAAACAAAATCTACAGTAAAATGGTAGCTTTCATTCATATGGTAGGATACTTTATAACTGCATTACCTGTTTGGATTTTAAACTCTCCTGTGAAGTTGATAAGAAGAGTATTACTTTCCTCCTTTACAAATGAATAAAGACAGTAAGAGACTGGTCTAGAATCACCTGATATTTGGACTAAAACATCCAGGGATCTTTTCATTGAGCTTTGCTCTCCCTTGGTCTGCCCTTCGTGTGGTTGGAAGGGCAGAAATGTCAGCTCCCTTTAAAGAGGAGACTATAAAAATGCAAAAGAAGAAACAGCAATGACCCCTGAGGAAAAAAAGGCTCCTGACAAAATTCTGACTGGTCACCTGATTTATTAAAAATACTGCTCAGAGCAAAAGGGTCTAAAACTTATACAATGTTTAATTTTCCTGTCACAACTATAGAATCAGATGGTTGAACCCAATTCTTTGTATGTAAGTACAAAATATGAGCTGAAATTAAATACTAAATCATGAGCTAGCATTAAAAGACATCACATGCCAACATGCCCCTCCCATATATATATATACATATTTTTCCCTGAGGGATATTAGCAAATCATACACTTTATCTTCAGAATAATATTTAAGCACACTGCAAAATAGCATAGACCAAAAGTCAGTCCCCCAAGCTTCAGGTGTTTGATTTTATGACTAATTCAGGATGGATAATTAAAACAATACTAATTACAGAAATGAATCTGTTCTTTTTGACCAAAAAGACCTATCTGCTAAGAACCAGGCTCAGATCATGTTGACTTACACATGTAAATTTTATAGTACCACCCCCTGCCTTGATGGAGCCTTTTAATTTTTCAGCCGGCTTTTCACATACTAACACCCACTATTATGATGCCTCTGTTATTTTTAATGAGAAAACCTTCCTCTTCCTGTCTGCATGCCTCACCTTGTGAAGTCTGTCATCTCCATCATGATCATACACATCTGTTTGGCCAGCACAATGATATCATTGCCGCTGTCATCCCATTTGGCCACTTCCGCGTCCAGCTTGCTTTTCTCTTGGTGGAATATCTCCACCTGTTCAGCTATTTTTGCCTTCTCCTCTTGTGGTAGTTGTGCCATGATGGCCTGTGTGGGTTACAGAAACAGTATGACTAATGATGACAAAGGGAGCCCAGACAGAAGGTCAACTCTGCCCCCAGTTAACAGCAAACCCAGACCCTGACGAGGCTGGTAGGCCGTCCCGCCACTCTGGAAAATACCCTTTTCTCCAGCCCCAGGAAGGAAAAATCACAGACTGGTAAGGTCCCTAAATTTCCTGTCCCCATTCCCACACACAAAAAATAACCAAGATCCAAAGGGACGTGCACATTGACAGTAGCAGAACCTCTCTATTGCTGTGATGACATGTGTTTGTTCAAAAGAATCTATTCCTGACAATTTTTATGTTTGGTCTTGGGAAACTTTTACCAGATGAAAGAATGCACCTCTTGCAACACTGAAATCTGTTCAGAGAAGGGAAAAAAGAGAACAGGCCTTCTGTTGCCGAGAAGGAAAAGAATTTTTTTTTTCCATTTATTTTTATTAGTTGGAGGCTAATTACTTTACAATATTGTAGTGGTTTTTGTCACACATTGACATGAATCAGCCATGGATTTACATGTATTCCCCATCTCGATCCCCCCTCCCACCTCCCTCTCTACCCAATCTCTCTGGGTCTTCCCAGTGCACCAGGCCCGAGTACTTGTCTCATGCATCCAACCTGGGCTGGTGATCTGTTTCACCCTAGATAATATACATGTTTCAATGCTGTTCTCTCAAAAAGAATTTTAAAGAATATCTGAGTATCCCAAGTGGGGTGGGGAGACAATCTGTGGGTGTTAATGAAGCAATCCATGGTTAAATGCCAAACAAAAATCCTTTATCTGGGTCACTTCAGGGATGGCATATCCATTCCCAGTCCTTGGCACTGTGGAAATCCTGGGTCAGCCATGGCTCCTATGCACAGAAAAGCTGTGATGGGATAAAATGTAGTATTAAGAAGGAAAAGTTGATTTTCAACAGTTGCTAGTAGAGGAATGTAGAAAAGGAAGAATTACTGTTGATTCTCACTATTTGTGGATTTTTTTTAATTTACAAATTTTCCTACTCTTTAAAATCTATCTGAACTCCCAAATCAATATTTGTGATGCTTTCAGTCATTCACAGACATGCGCAGAGCTACCAAAATTTGAGTCATCCAACATTCATGTATGAAGTGGAACAAGGGTGTCTCTGCCTTCTTGTATTAGCACTCATACCAGAAACAAGTGTCCTTTTTGCAGTCTATTTAGTACCACATTTCCCACATCTTTGCACCTTTTGTTGGAGGTTTAGCTGTTTAACATGGTCCCCAACCCTAGTGTAGAAGTGCTGTCTCATATCTCTAAGCGCAAGAAGGCTGCAAAGTGCCTAATGAAGAAAATACATGTATTATATGAACTTTGTTCACAAATGACTTTTAGTGCTCTTAGATATGAGTTCAATGTTCATGAAGCAAATCGATGGAAAAAACAGAAGCATTCATTAAACAAGATTATGTATTGATGGGTTGAAGGAAATGTTAAGACTAGCAGTTCTCAGGAACCTAACCCTGTATTTCCCATAGAAACAATGAATCTGTAGTTGCTAATTTAAGTGTTCACATTGACCTTATAGAACATGAGGCCATGAATAAAGAGAATCAACTGTATTTGTTAAACACCATTTATGTAGCAGGTGTTGAGTGAAATGTCTGACACCAGTTCATGGCATCTGCCCAGAACCTTTTGTAGCCTGCATCACTGAAAGGAGCATGTGGATCAGTGTGTTAGCACTGGTGTCCCTCTGGTGCTGGGATACATGTATGCTCCAGAAGAAAGACCAAGAAAGCATGATTTGGGATACATACAGTTTTTACAAAGGACAAGTAAATAAGACCAAAAAAAACCAAAACTGCTTTCTAAATTGTAAAGCTCCTCCCAGTATAAGTGAATAGTTCAAAGGAGAGGTAGCTGATATCTAACTGAAATATCAGGGGATTCAAGATTAGAAGAACTGGGCTCAACCTGGCTCTGTCATTGACTTAAGACCTCATTGCTACTGTATCACATCCTTAACTTTTTGAAATATAAGATTAGTAAACAATTACCTCAATTACTTCCAAATGCTACGATGGACAGAAAATAAAATAATAAATGTGCTACATGTTTGTCTGAAAAAAATGACAGTAAGCATGTATGAGATTACTGTTACCATTGTTATCATTATTTCTATGAGCTTTCCTTTCCAGCTGCTTCTCTAGCTTATTACATAGTTGCCATCAAAGAGAAGAGATGGAATCAGAGACTGTGTGACTACCTATAAATGGAAATCAGCATGATTCTTTGAACACAGGCATGCATCCTGGGTACTATACTAAATGACTTAAAATGTCAAACATTTAATCTACTTAATTATTGTATAAGATTAATACTATTATTACCCCTATTTTATTAATGATGATACCAAGATCCAGGAAAGTTAATTAACTCTGAACATTACACAACTAATGAGCTGTAAGAAAAGGAGTCAAAGCCAGGTCAGCTAACACCATACTTAAGAATCCTGCACAATGAGATCACCATGCAGGACAGTGCAGGTTAGACACTGCCTAGTGATCCCAGTCCAGTGGGGCAAAGGTCACGAAACCGCAGCCTCTGTCCACCAGGCTGAGCAGCCTAGAGTCAAGGCTTCATCTGCCCAGGGTAAAGGGGTTCCTTGGTCTGATTTGCATGAAGGTGTCCTTGAACTAGTAGCTTCCCAGATGCTACCTCTTACCAATAATGTCTACTAAACGCCGTGCAGGTATGTATGTGACTTTGTACCAATAGCATGTGTCTTCATGTGTATGATGTCTGTGTGCGTGTGTTTGTGTGTATATATATATCCATATATATCTATATATATAAACTTAGGTCTATAAATATGTGGGTGCATGTGTATACAAACATTAAAAATTGATATCTTAAAAATCAAACTAGTTCAGATAAAATAGTTAAAGTATTTAAAATACTACTATTCAAAAAATATTTTAAAGTACTTTTAAAATGTATTTAAAAAGAGTTAATATACAAAAGAGTTTGTTATAAACTCACATATGCAACATCATATTAATTCCAAGGCAGTTATTACAATACTTTTGAGATAGGTTTGGATTTGCACAAGTTTCCTGAAGCACCCCATCTGATATTCTAAAGGTGTCTAAGATTCATGTGTCCTCCTCACACAAAATTGATAACCATGTTTTACTTATACCCTACAAGTCCTAACCAGCATCATTTAAAGCATCTATTAGGTGCTTCTCTTAAAAAAAAGAAAAAAAAGAATCTATAAAACTGCTGGGCAGACCTCTAGATTCTACATTCAACATCCAGATTCTAGCAATAAACCTATCATTGTCCCCAAAGGATTAATTTGTGCATTAAAAGGTTACACGTGTCTGTCAACTGTTATCACTTGAGTTTCAATCGTCCAGTTTAGTATTTGAATATTAACTGCCTTACTCTAGCTCTCTGATTTCTATTAATGCCCTGCTTCTGACTTCCTTTTGAGCTTCCTGAAGGCAAAGACCCCAGCATCCGCCTCTGTGTAGAAACTAAATGCATACCTTTTGATTGACTGTTCACACATCTCTCCACTCACCCTATTGACACAATTTGAGAGAAGTTAACAGAACTGACAAATGTTTTCTGAGGGCACAATTTGGAAGAAAAACCAATCCCTTCAAAGCAAATTTGCAAAGGAAGCTGTTATTTTGACTCTGGGGGTGCTTCACCCACATAATGCACTTAATGGCGTGTGACTTGGGTGTAAGAGTCATTACGTTTGCTCCTGCTAATGTAGCTATCGATGAAGCAAAGTCGCTTCCTAAATATTCTTAAAAATCTCTTGGCTTTTAAAAATTCATAATTGACCTTTTCTGAAACTGGAATTTAAAAAAAGGTTATCTATAAACAGTAGATCACAAACTGTGAAATTTGCAAGTTAATCAAATTAAAATTCAACACATGAGTTTTAATTAGGTCTTATCAATGTAACTCAGCAGTTTGAAATGTTAACACATTAAAGCCCTTCTAGCTAGGGGAAAAAAAAAAAGCTTAGAGGCTGGCTACATTCAAGTCAAGTTGAATGCAAAATACATAATGTGCAGTTGTTCATTCCCTCAAACTAAGGAAACATAAGAAAAAGGGTTTCGATGGCACAGGGGAAAGAACAAATCAGCTTTTCTGTTTGTGTCATGTGGTCACCAGCAGTGATCTGAGATTTTCCTCTCCTTTCTGTTTAGCCAACCACAGCTGTCCAGATTTTTGATCTGGGACCCCAATTTGGTGGCCTCAGAGACTTGAATTCACAACATTTCTTACCCTGCTGCCTCAGGCTCCTAGCCTTTCCTCTGAACATACAAGCATTTTTGTGTGTGTGATTGTTCTAAACTTTATTAAGTGAAGAAAGTGAAAGTGTTAGTCACGCAGTCATGTCCAACTCTTTGCGACCCCATGGACTGTAGCCCACCAGTCTCCTCTGTCTGTGGAATTCTCTAGGCAAGTATACAGGAGTGGGTTACCATTTCCTTCTCTGGAGGATCTTCCCAACCCAGGGATTGAACCCGGGTCTTTGACTGAATCCAGACTCTATAGTCTGAACCACCAGTAAAGCCCAAACTTTATTAAATAAAAGTGTATATCACTGACACAAGCCAACAACGTCTCAGTCCAGAATTTTTTCGGCAATTTAAATCTCAAGGAGCTTTTTTCTAGTCTCAAAAGAATTCTTTTCCCAATCCCAAGATGAAAAATGACTTTTAAAGTCTTTGGACATCTGAACTGAAAAGTGTTCCTATCTTAAACACACAGCAATAGTCTACCATGAAAGGTTTAAGTATATGCATGTTTATAAATAATGATTTGAAAGGTTAAAACTTAATGTGCCCATTTCTCTTCACTTGGTTTTAAAGCACGATAATAAACATAAGTAATTAAGGAGTGGGTGACTTTTACTTGTCTCAGGCTGTGAAGTGAATTGGAAAATTGAGATTCTTGTCTCATTAATTCAAGTGAAAACTTTCAGGATGGTCTAAATTATCCAGCCTTTTCAGGTTAAACTATTGGCCAGCCTTCTAATGAATGACTATGTTATGCTACAAGCATCATCATCTTCTTCATAAACTTAACATTATGCAATAACTCTTGGGATACTTTTCATCATGCATTTCTCCTAATGACATTATGAAGTACATGTATATATATAAAGAGAGAGAGATGGAGAGAGAGGGCGCACACAAGGAGATGAGGCATAGCGAGGTTAAGAAAGTTACCCCAAAGCCGTACAGCTTGCCCAAATCCATTTTTAAAATAAGGTTTGTGTGACTGCAAATAATATGTTTTATCATGAAGGTTAAATGCCCAAGAATTATTGATGATTAATTTTAACTATGTCAGCTTTTGAAGAAAGAAGTTTATAAGATATCATGTTTAGGATCAAAGGGCCTGATAATTTCTATATTTTATCAGATCAGGGTATGATTGTTCTCCATTCAAATCCTCTCTCTCTCTCTCGCTCTCTCTCTCTCTGTTTCTCTCTCATAAAGCATTGTAGACAAGCAGCATATGGGAACACATAAAGGGAACAAAGCTTAACTCTAATTTCAGAATTTGAGAACAACATTGGAAAGGGCACTAAAGTCTTTTTTCCCACCTTAACCTCCTCTTGGATTTAATTTGCCATTTTCAGAGAATTTCGCTGAATGAGAACACAAAGTAACCAGAGGAGAGCTGGGTGCTGGAAAGAGCAACTGCCTCTGTCAGAGACAACTTTTGCCTCCTCCACACTTTTGAACAAGTTAACACACTTCTCTGGTCAAAAGTTCGACCATCTGTCATCTCAGTAATTCAATGCACCCTCTTATTTCTAACTTATGGCCGTAATTCTATGTCTCTGATTTGTCATCATATAATTATAGGCTTAAATAGGCTGACTCAATAACTAATGCTGTCTGCTGCAAGTTACTCATACAAACCTCATGATGGTTCGCAAAGACAAATCAGCAAGTGTTGAATTACAGGGGTAGTTTGTTCTTACTATCCTGGCCCATGTTCATCATTCATGCTGAAAAAACTTTCAAAAAAGACCATTGTCTTCTCACCTACTGGGTGAAGAAATAATAGATGATGTAGATAGATGTCATCTGACTTTTGTTTCCACTCACCGTAACTGACTTGACCTTGAATGTAAGATGCATGAAATGGAAGTATAATGGGACTGTATTTTTCCTTGTAAAAAGTGAGGCTGTACCAATACTAAGTTGCAGTTAGTCAATCAAATTGACTTTGAACAGATTAATGTTTGGGTGAATTACTCAAACTTGCCCTTTGTCACTGACATAAAAATGCTTGTTTTACTTCATTTTGAAGATAAATTGATCTGACTGATGAATTAGTATAGTCTTATGCCAGGACAGGCTCGAAAGACTCTCGGCTTAATCAACTTCCCTATTTTCAATATTTTAGGGGAGTAACTAAAGTCTCCAAGGAATCTTTTAAAGTAGGGAGCATCATACTCTTCTGTGCACTTCTCTGCTCTCACCAGCCTGTGATAAGAGATTTCTCTTCCAAAAGATGACAATTTTCAGTCATCCCTTATTGAGCACTCAATGTGTGTCAGATATTAATGCTCATTATTTTATAAATGTTAAGTGATCAAAACCTCAAAGGAATCTTATCAAACAGGCCTATTATTTACTTAAAGATGATAGGAAAAAAGCTCAGAGAAATTAAGCAGCATGTACCAGAGCATAGTGTTCACCCTACTCATTACAATTCAGAACTATGTCTGTCTGAAATCAAATCCAGCACATCTCCAATGTTCTAACTTTTACTCTCACACTTCGCCCAACGATGTTCATCTCTATCTCGCAGATCATTTAATTGTTGGATGAGACTATCAGGGGAAATGGGATTTTAAAAGCAAAGACTTTCTTGACTCAACATAAAGTTTAGTCTTCTCTGAATTATCTTCATTTTAACCTTTGATTGGCTAGTTTTACTCTTTTTTTAGAATTCCTATGCCAGTGTGAACTTTCTGGAGTTACTAGATCCCTATTCTAAATTGCCATCTCTATCTCATGCTTCCTATTCATTATCTTTTAATAAGTAAAACTTTACAAAAGAGAATTAGAATATCCATTAGGATATCTCAGTTATTCTAAAATTAGATTATTTTAGCCCTATGGAAACTGAGCCTTTAAAGGGAGGAGAATCTCACCCTCTTTTGCAATCCCCAGGAGTTTTATCTGCTGCTCCCTGCCTTGATTACTGGCAGCTTCTCCTCAAGAAGCTCCAGCTAATAAGACTGGTCAGCTTCCAGAATATTCTTTGGAACACTTTTATTGGTGGCCTGTGTCAGAGTGTTCAAGAGAGTTCAACTGTCAGCCACAGTGGTGATCTTTTATGGTTCTTGCTCCACAATCTTTAACTGTTATATTTCTTGTATGTCTCTGTAATTTCTTTTTCAATCACATGGATCTGGGGCTGTTGCCTTGGCCCTAGGTAGGTATCAGGGGAAAAACTTCTTTCTCAACTCTGATGTCCCTGAACCAACTGCAAAATATGTGGTCTTGTTTCTCAGATACCCTAGGCCAGAGTATGGAGCAATAACAACCCCACTGGTAACAAAGTAGTACTCTCATTCTCCATTTGTGGTTGTCACCTATGTGGTTAACAAGTTTGGAGACTTTAAGAAGAACCATGAAGTCTGGGAAAAGGTAAGATCTGAGCATTCCCTTATGCCCTGGTCACTGAACCATCTAATCATGATCTCCAACACCCACCAAATCCACAATACACACAAGTTTTGCTGTGATGTGGCTGCTATAATTTCAGTGATGGAAACAGAAGGGAGTAAGAAGGAATCAGAATCAGTGTTGATTTCCATTGTGTAAAATGTGAGTTGCTAGAAATGAAACAACCCCAGGTGACAGCCTGGATTTCTGAGCCATGAAACTCTGGGGTTCCAGGTACATGGAAATCAGAAATTCCTTCAAACCAGTTTGGTGAACTCAACTGCTGTGCTCCAAACCAAAGTCCTGAATGTCCACTCACCCGTGCACTCTGTCCTGCAATGAGCTGGTCATCCTCGGTCTGAACACTTGTCCGGCTACGCACATCGTAATCTTCCTGCTCAAAGTCTGAATCATCCTCCAATTCTTCTGGGGTCTAAAAATACAGAGGAAAAGAGAAAAATCAGCATACAGATCTCCTTCAACTTATAATGGGATTAAATTCCAACAAACTCTCTGTAAGTTGAAAATATCTTAAGTCAAAACTGCATTCATGGGATTAAATTCCAACAAACACTGTAAGTTGAAAATATCTTAAGTCAAAACTGCATTCAGTACACTAACCTACTGAATATCACACTTAGTCTGTGTGCACATGTGTGTTCAGTCATGACTAACTCTTTGTGATCCCATAGACTGTAGCCCACGAAGCTCCTCTGTCCATGGGATTTCCCAGGAATCCCATGAAGGAATACAGGAGTGGGTTGGCATTTCCTTCTCCAGGGCATCTTCCCGACCCAGGGATAGAACCCGTGTCAGTGTCATCTCCTGAATTTGCAGGTGGATTCTTTCTCAAGAGCACTACCTGGGAAGCCATAGCTTAGCCTCAGTTCAGTCCAGTTCAGTTGCTCACTCATGTCCGACTCTTTGTGACACCATGGACTGCAGTAAGCCAGGCTTCCATGTCCATCACCAACTCCTGAAGCTTGCTCAAACTCATGTCCATCGAGTCGGTGATGCCATCCAACCATCTCATCCTCTGTCACCCCCTTCTCCTCCCACTTTAATCTTTCCCAGAATCAGGGTCTTTCCAATGAGTCAGTTCTCCGTATCAGGTGGCCAAAGTATTGGCACTTCAGCTTCAGCATCAGTCCTTCCAATGAATATTCAGGACTGATTTCCTTTAGGATTGACTGGTTTGATCTCTTGGATGGCTAAGGGATTTTCAAGAGTCTTCTCCAACACCACAGTTCAAAACCATCAGTCCTTTGGTGCTCAGCTTTCTTCATGGTCCAAAGAAGCTATGGAAAAACCATAGCTTTAACTAGATGGATCTTTGTTGGCTAAGTAATGTCTCTGCTTTTTAATATGCTGTCTAGGTTGGTCATAACTTTTCTTCCAAGGAGCAAGCATCTTTTAATTTCATGGCTGCAGTCACCATCTACAGTGATTTTGGAGCCCAAGAAAATAGAGTCTCTTACTGTTTCCATTGTTTTCCCATCTACTTGCCATGAAGTGATGGGACGAGATGCCATGAGCTTAGTCTTCTGAATGTTGAGCTTTAAGCCAACTTTTTCTCTCCTCTTTCACTTTCATCAAGAGGCTCTTTAGTTCTTCTTCACTTTCTGCTATAAGGGTGGTGTCATCTGTATATCTGAGGTTATTGATATTTCTCCTGGCAATCTTGATTCCAGCTTGTGCTTCATCCAGGCTGGTATTTCACATGATGTACTTTGCATATAAGTTAAATAAGCAAAGTGACAATATACAGCCTTGACAAACTCCTTTTCCAATTTGGAACCAGTCTGTTGTTCCATGTCCAGTTCTAACTGTCGCTTCTTGACCTGCATACAGATTTCTCAGGAGGCAGGTAAATCGGTTTGGTATTTCCATCTCTTGAAGAATTTTCCACAGTTTGTTGTGATCCACACAGTCAAAGACTTGAGTGTAATCGATGAAGCTGAAGTAGCTATTTCTCTGGAATTCTTTTGCTTTTTCTATGATCCAACAGATGTTGGCAATTTCCTAACCTACTTGAAAGTGATCAGAACATTTACAATAACTTATTAGTTGGGCAAAATTGTCTAAGACAAAGCCTTTTTTTTTATAATTAAGTATTGACTATCTCATGTCATTTACTGAATACTCTATTAAAAGTGAAAAACAGAATGGTTTTCTAGGTACAGAATGGTGTTAAGTGGCTCTGCTGTTTACCTTTATTATTGTGTGGCTAACTGGGACTGTGGCCTCTGTACTCACACACTAATAATGGAAAACATTCTTCAGGTACCTTTCATTTGCCTATGATTGTTTCCTAAGTTCTTTACTTATAGCAACTCATACACTTTTCTTGATAGTCCTATGATATACACACTATTTTCTCCATTTACACATAAGGAAACTGAGGTGTGAGAAGATACACCTTGTTCAGAGTCTTCTAAAGCATGCAGTTTGACACATGTACTCAAAAATCCTGTGCTCTGTTAATTTTAAGAGGATAAACTCAGGAGATTGCAAGGATGGTGCAGGGAGGAAAGACAATGCCTTCATGTGAGATTCCCTGCACAATTGTCTTTAGTTTGAAAGCTGATAGTCACCCACAACTTGGCACAAAGTAACACCATCTCTCAGGGCTGTGTCTTTCTGAAGGAAGGAGCAGATCAGAAGCAGTGCTGACAATGCAGGTGCCCACTGCCCATCTAAAAGGGCACATTTTAATTTCACTGGTTATTTGACTATCTCAGTGTAATTAATCAGGTGTGGTTATTGATGAAGTCTTAAGATTGGTCAGACAGGCATAAAATGGGGTCTTTGGTGCCAATATAACATTCTGTCTTGTAATTTTCCAGGCTGTGGCATATCCCTCTTGTTTTCCTTCTCTCTCACCACCAACTTTATTAATATTCACTCACTCATCTACAGATGTTCAATTTTCTCCCCAGGAATATTAAAAGAAAGAGATTTTGTTCCCAGTCTTTATTAACTCAAGCAGGGGTGGAGTGGGCAAACCAGTTCACACAACTGCTGGAATTTTCACTGTGGACAGAGACAAGCATCTCTGTTCATTTCTCACTTCTCTGGAGTGTGCTGAGGAACAATTACAGCAAGTTGGTAAATTCTGCTGACAGATGAGCTGACAAGATTGCACACACTTCTCATCATTAGATTTTGAAAAGGAGAGTGAAAAATAAAATGGAAAACCTCACTCAACAGAAAAAAGGAGAAAATGACAGTGCCTATAGTACTGTGTCCAAACATTTCAGTGATCTGTGTGCTCAGTAGATGAGTCAATGGCAAGCACAACCTGGCAGCATAAGGCTCATAATGATGAGTTCGTATTCACGTGATATGGCTCAGGAACGAAAATAAAGTTTCAGAATGAAAAATAGAATATTGTACAACCAGGGAACCTGAACATTCGGGGCCTAACTCTGCCACTGATACGTGATTTTCGCAAGCCACTTAAAGTTTTTCTGCTTTTCTGTCTCCTCACTCATAAAATAGACAATAACTGCTACTTGTCCTGCCTGCTTCACAGAATTATAGCATCAAATATACACACACAAAAAGCTGGGTAAACAATACAAATAAAGTAATAAGTGACAGTGATCACTATTATGATTAATAATAAAACATACACCTAATAGCAACAGCTACAATCACCATCACCACAGGGATCATTTTTTATTACCCACTATGGGTCAGGTGGGCTTTCCAGATGGCTCTTTGGTAAAGAATACACCTGTCAATACAGGAGACGCATGTCAATCCCTGGGTTGGGAAGATTCCCTAGAGAAGGAAATGGCAACCCACTCCAGTATTCTTGCCTGGAAATAGTAGACAGAGGAACCTGGTAGGCTACAGTCCATAGGGTCACACAAAAGAGTTGGATACAACTTAGCAACTGAACAACAACAACATGGGTCAGCCATTCAACTAAAGGATTTAATCCTTGCAATGACCTAATGAAACGAACTTAATCCCAATTTAATAAAGGCATAAACAGGTTCAGAGTAGTTAGGTAAGTTTTCCAAGCACCAAACCTGGCCAGTCGAGGGTTCCATGGCTTTTAACCATTACAAGTACCATCAGGCAAATGGATGAGATTGAAATATTTTCTTGTGCCTAAACCATGCAGCAAACCCATTCAAACCACCCATATAAATAGTTCTGTGTATGTGAAGTTTTCTGAGTGCATGTAAACATGTCTCTTATTCATGCTGTCTTTTTTTGAATAATGCTATTTTTTGGTTGATCAAGGATCCCCACAAATTAAAGGAGACATGGAAAAGCAGGGAGGGTCTGAAAATGGGCCAAGAGATAATGAAATTTGTCTCACTAGATGATATCCTAGGATAAAAGAAATAGAAAAAATATGCAACTCATTGGACTAGAGACTGGTGACCTAAGATCAGTCCTCAGTTCTGCCCTTATTTGCTCCCAGGAGAGGCTTTTTTTATGATGTGAGAGAATCACTTTGGTCTAGTCTTGGTTCCATGATGCTACTAGCAATGTATCTGGCCTATAAAATACCTCACTTCTAAGAGTCTATCAGATTAATGTGTGGCTTATACAGAGGTTCAAGAATATCATGTGACTTGTCCATTATCACACCACATACTACCTGCAGAGTAGGATCAATCTACCTGCCTCAGCTTCCCAATCAAATTCTCAATCTTCTCTAGAACAGCTTCAGTAAAGAAGAAAATGAGAAAAGTTTGAAAAATTTGCAGTCATTTCACCAGGACATGTGAAAAATGTGACGTGTGTGTGTGTGTGTGTGTGTGTGTGTGTGTGTGCGTGTGTGTGCGCACTCGCACTCATAGGTGCTGAGTCATGCCCGACTCTGCGACCCCATGGACTGTAGCCCCACCAGGACCCTCTGTCCATGGGATTCTCCAAATAAGAATCCTGGAGTGGTTGCCCTCCTCCAGTGAATCTTCCCACCCAGGATAAAATCTGCATATCTTGCATCTCCTGGATTGGCAGGTGGATTATTTACCACTGTGGCACCTGGGAAGCCCCCAAAATGTAGTAAGGACTATTTAAAGGATTGGCTCAGGCACAAATGAGTTTCACTGGGAGCAGAAAGATGAGATCGTAAGTTGGCAACCACAACAGGAGACTTTGAGTGATGCATGAAGAAGGATTTCTCAACAGATCTCTAATCACTGCAATGGCCTGAAAACTAGAAAGTTGAATTAAAAATTTCCTGACCCAATATAAAACAAAATCTCCCTCATCAGGACTGATCAGCTTCTGGCATCTGTAACCATTTTTACCCTGGAGGCCACCTAGCTTAGCTCCTTTTTTCTGCTCTTAACCCATACTTTGTATTTTCTCCCATATAACTAAGATACTCCATTTAAGATCTAACTAAGATCATGTTATTCTCCTGCTCAGAAAACTTCAATGGCTTCCGTCACTCATTCAATA